GGCCTCCGCGGCGGCTCTGCGCTCTCCCTAGGTCTAAATTTTTGGTCTAATATCGGTTTCCTCCCTTAAAAATGGTGTTTAATGACTATTTATATGTGTAGGGAAAAGACCTAGATAAAATAACCAAGTCCAAAACCAAATAGGAGACAAAATAGGCTTTAAAAATCCGAAACCCCCTCGCTACAAACCGTGCCTTGCGACCTCTATAGCGCGCTCCACCTCGCTTTAACCCGTGCGTCGCCAGCTCCATCGCGAGCTAAGTAGCTCGCTCGTGTACTTCTTCTTCGATTCAGTTTGCTGTTTCGTTGCCTAGCTTTGTCAAATTCTCTCTTCTCAATTGTTCTTTGCATTGTCATCTATAATCACTTTATCATTAGATAATCATACCCCCATTGTTTTAGTGCATGAAATACACTTTAAATATTTACTTTGCTCCAATTTCATCTCTAATGTACCTACACATAAAATAAACTCAATTAAGCACATATATAGTATAATTTAACATTAAAGCACCTAAACGTAAGGTAAGTAATGCACTAAAAATATATAATTATAGCCAAACATCACTAATCTAGGATTGAAGGGGAGCCTTGGAGCAATGGAAAAGTTGTCTCCGTGTGACCTATAGGTCACGAGTTCGACATGTGGAACCAATCACTAAATGCTTGCATTAGGATAGGCTGTCAACATCACAACCCTGGAGTGTGGCACTTCCCCGAATCTTGTATGAATGCAGAATACTTTATGCATTGGGCTGCCCGTAATAATCTAGGATATAGGAACTAAAACCTTAAAGCTCCAAACTTGAATTCGTATTAAATTGTGGTATTTAATTGACAATACTTAAACAAAATCTTGTGTACGCCACTTACGACAAATCAAAATCAATAGTGCTAATCGATATTATATACTCAATAAATAGTAAAGTGACATAGGTAGTGCCACTATTGTGCATATTGGGATATCCACAAATGATGCCCCAAATTAAACTTATGCTTCATAAATATCTCCCATCCAACAGCTTCTATAGTCCAATTTTTCAGAATCAGCTACTAAAAATAGATGATTCATTAGAGCTTTGAATGGATTTTGATTTTTCTTATTCAACGTCCTGACATCTACTAATTATTTTAATCTAAGTAGACTATCATCAACGCAAAACTGAAAAACAAGAAGGACAAAGTTGACCCCCTTTTAGAGTGGATTCAAGTTTTGGTTTATCTCCAAATAAAAAAATGTTATTTTTTAAATATTTTGCCAACCAACAAAATTAGAGAATAGTTTTTTCATTTTTTTGCAAAAACTGCAAATTACATGTAAAGTAGTTTTTAAGTTTTTGCAAAAGCCTTCTGTGATGTTTGGTTGAAAAAATTTCTGATAATATTTTTCCACCTATTTTAAAAAAAATATCAAGTAGATACATGGTACCATATTATCAGTGTACCTAATATTTCTTTATAAGAATTAGAGAAAAAAATATACTACTATTTTGTCTAAAAAAGGATACTACATGCTTAACGTCAAAGACTGGCGCGTGCCTACACATATTGGTCAAAGTGTGCATTCATCTCTTCCTCTACGATTTCTATTCGAATTAAGAATCACAATCAAAATTTGGATCATTTGCATCTTCTATTTGATTTTTTTTGTTAAAAGCCAGCCCAATGTACAAAGTATTCATATTCATGCAGGGTCGAGGGACGACACTCAAGAGGTGTGATGTAGACAACATATCCTAATGTACGCATTAGTGGCTGTTCTCACGGCTTGAACCGTAACTTATAGGTCACTGTGTAGACAACTGTAATGCATTAATGACTGCTCTCACGGCTCAAACCCGTAACATATAGGTCATTGGAGACAACTGTATAGTCTTTCCTTCCCTACTTCTATTTGATATTCTCAAAAAAAAATTATACACCTTAAGCGAAGGATCAAACTAATATGAAATTTATAAGCAAAAATCCAAAACTTTTTCCTCTCCGCTTCTTGTTTTTGTTTAAAAATTGGAAGTTCTTGGGATCTTTACACAAATAGCCGGCCATATTAATTGTTTACTTTTTCTAGTCATATATATAGATTATATATTGATTATACATAATTATACACATGTAATACTAAATTGTGCATATATTATATATTTACCGGCTATTTGTAGTTTAAGTGGTAGGATGAACGACTATTTAGGTTAATTCTTCTTGTTTTTTATCATTAGCGTGATAGCAACAGTGCCTTGCATATGCATGTGTAGCATGTCAGCAACCAAATTCGCCGCCAAAGTCAGATGTATGTTTAGTACTTATTTGACTCGTGTAAACAGAAATTTCTCTATTTGAATTGGTCTTTAGTCTTGGATAACTTTTTGTGACATTGGCCTCCAAGAGTTGAAACAAAGGTAGCCAAACCATCCTTCCTACCAACCTTGTTTATTCTATGACATGGGCCAATTTCTCCCATTTATGAATATATTTCATATTCAAATAACACATGCATTACCCTAAATCAGTAGGAGGGTGTGGAGGTCGAGAATTAAGGTTATGGGTTGACAGGGCGCAATCTAAAGTTTCCTCTAATCTTGCCATTAGTATTATTACTAGTCTTGTATTTTTCTATTCCTAGCCCCTTGCTAATACACGATGTGTCATTATTTCCAGTAGAATTGGCTCTATTCTTGTAGTGTCGTATTCTTCGATCTTGGTTATTGCACGTTACGTTGCACCATTTGCTTCCGTGTCTTATTACTTTGTTGTTGTTACTATCTGTTTATTGCTTCATTTTTATTGTTCTTGAGTCGAGAATCTTTCGGAAACAGCTCTCTACCGTCATAAGGTAGGAGTAAGGTCTGCGTATACTTTACCTTTCCCATACTCCACTTATAAGATTTCACCGCGTTTGTTATATGATCCTGAACCGCCTTTGAAAAGAAAACCACAGGCTTTATGCTAAAAAGTTTAGTAAAAATTAAGATACACGAAACTGGAAACGAAAACGATAAGACACGTAGGAAAAGAGGAACAAAAAAGCTGGATAAAGAATAAATATCAGCCCAAAGCATGAAGCCAGACAAGGGTTGGCCCATCTACAGAACTCATTTTAGGCTTGAGATTTTTTTTTTCGGTGGGCTTGAGAATCACTAGGCCGAAAACTCAATAGATAAGCACAAAAAATTACATAACTATGACACTTTTTGAGATGATCTTTATCTTTTGATCCCCGCTTGCCTAATAAATAAAATATTAAGGTTAAAAGTTAAAAGTATTGTTTTTGAAAAAAGTGAGGGGTAATACTTTTTAAACTTGTAGTTCTAATATATAAGAAACAACAATAACAATGATCCGATAAAATCCCACTAGTGGGGTCTGGGGAGGGTTTTGTGTACGCAGACCTTACCCCTATCCCGAGGGAGTAGAGAGGTTGTTTCTGAAAGACCCTCGACTCAAGAAGACGAAAAGAGACAATATCAGTACCATCAATAGAAACCATAAGAAAAATAGCATCATGAGAAAGTAGATGCAAAGCAAAAGCAATATACACTAATAGATAAGAAACATAACAATAATTATGAAATTGTAAAATTATTTTTATTATGATTTAAATTATATGCACTGATAGAGTAAATTTTTTTTTTACTCAACTAAGTCACTTATATGGTATTATAGATAAAACTCTAAATATTAATTGATAACCTGATAAAAATAATAAGTAATATGCGACCACATGTTAAAATACACCGAGTATAAAAGATTTTGCTCGTTAATATATATTTCTTAAATCTTTTATCGCACTTTTATTTTGATTGGGTATTTGACGAATTACAATGAAAATCATTAAGGAAATATCAACGGCTGAATGTATAAATTTTATGACTGGTATAAAGAGATCTCGATGATTTTTTTCATCAAATTCTTTTACTTCTTTCTCATCCAACAGAGATAAAGAGCTTGGTGACCTGTCATCGAGGTCTCTTAAAGAGTTTGAAAAGAAAGCAAGCCTCATGTTGTTATCGTCGTCGCTCAACTTCGGTTTTGGATTTCATGATTTGGACTAATAATCTGATTGATTGATATATTTTGTGGACTAAATTTATTCATCCTTTTTCCGATATTTTTTCGCGCAGAATTTTAATTTTAAACTTCGTGGCCTCTTTTCCTGACGGTACTTAACAGAATTGTGAATATTTCTGCCGAAGAGACAAGTTTTGTCATGAATATGCATCTTTGCACCTCTTGTAAACTAGTTTTTGGACACGTATGTTGCACGTGAATTTCATATAAATTAGTACAAACCTTCATAATAATTTTATTATATCAAAGTATCATGTATTGTGATGAGTAACACTAAATTTGAATGCAAAATGATTAGAATTCTTTTAATCATATAATGTTGCACAACTACCTTTAGTTAGGTAAGTACAATATGTAATGAAATTAATTTGGATATTATCAGGTCCAAACATGTGATTTGATCGTATTTCATCAATTACTTTCTATTAATAATGTTCTTTATATATATATATATATATATATATATATATATATATATATATATATATATATATATATATTCCATTATTGACGTTTCGGTTGTTCAATCATGACCAGAACTCTGGTATTCTTGTAATTTCCAGTTCACAGTTTGTACGTGCGTGACACCTTATTATTGCGCTTGAATTATTAAAAAGCTTATGCATATCAATAAACAAAATTATAATGGAATCAAATAAAATCGAATATTGTTCTTTAAAGAATCACATTAATGATTGAGAAATATTTCAAATTAATAGATGGTGTTTCTAAAGCATCATAAATTTAGAATTATTAATTTGACATTAATATTATTTGTAATATAAGAGGTGCATGCATTTATCTCAGTGTCAATAAGAAGCTAACTATTGAGAGAATAAAAGAAGAAAATGCAATGGGAGCTGTACAAAAGCTCAATTTACAGTCGATTTGGAGGAAGAATGGGAGCGAGTGAATGCTATTGTACTGACATGGATTATGAACACAGTTTCACCAGATTTGGTAATGGGAATTGTGTATGCTAGTGATGCTCATGAAGTTTGGCTAGATCCGCAGGATCGATTTGATAAAGTCAATGGATCTGGGATTTACAACCTTCAACGAGAGATAGCTACCATCTCTCAAGGAACATCCAGCAACTCAGTATATCATTCTAGATTGAAATCACTTTGGGACGAATATAATCCCATGATTCCTTCCCTCCCTGTTACGGCTGGAACTAGGGATTTTACCGAACACTTGGAGCAGCAGAAACTTTTTCAGTTCTTAATGGGTCTAAATGGGTCCTATAATGCAATCAGAAGTCAAATTTTACATCAATCTCCATCACCTTCTATCAATCGTGTCTATGCAATGTTAATAAATGGAGAAAATCAAAGAAGAGTGTTTGAGACTAATTCACATATTAATGTGACAAATGAAGTGAATGATTCCACGGCTCTTATGAGTTCTAGAGATAATCAACTAAAGTTTAAGATGTTCAATAATTTGTTGTGAGTATTGTCGAAACAAAAGACACACAAAGGAAACCTATTATAAGTTGGTTGGATATCCATCTGGCTTCAAAGGAAAGAGACCACAACAGTATAGGCAAGCTAACATGGTTGAGAGTGATAACGGTTCTGGTAAAAGTGCTACTGCAAATAAGGATAATGCAGGGATGAATCGGGGGATGCTTAACTTCTTTACTGATGAGCAATATAACCAGAGCATGAAGATGATAAACAAGGATAAATCAGAAGAACATGCAGAAAATATGGCAGGTAATGCTAATTCGCAATCTCTAGAGAATTTAGCTGACTTCATGATTGTAGATACTAGTGTGACTGAACATATGGCATCTAATAGTGAAATGTTGAAAACAATGCCTGGTTTACCTGACTCAAAGAGAGGTAATGTAAATTTACCAAATAGTAAGACTGTGTCTGTCATTTGTAAAGGAAGTTACAATCTTACAGATCATGATGTAATATATGATGTGTTATGTGTGCCTGACTTTAAATACAACCTGCTGTCTGTGTCAAAATAAACTAAAGAGCTGCAATGCTCAGTTAATTTCTTCCCAATACTTTGTGTATTTCAGGACCTATACACTGGGAGAGTGAAGGGGATTGGTAAGGAAAAAGGTGGCCTTTATCTCCTGATCCCAAAAGGGTCTAACAAGAACAAAATGGCACAAAGAATCAACAGATGTCTTGTAGAAGGAATGCAAGCAGACTTCACTACTTGGCATAAAAGACTTGGGCATGTGCCAGTTAGAGTCATGAAGCAGTTAGATTTCCTTAAGAATAAGAAGTTTTCTGATTGTGAGTTCAATAATTGTATTGTATGTCCTTTAGCTAGGTAAACAAGGAAACCATTTCCTTTGAGTAGCAACAGAGCTGAAGACATTTTTCATTTGATTCATGTAGATATTTGGTGTCACGACCCCAAATACCCTGGTCGTGATGGCGCCTATCACAATACTAGGCAAGCCAACTCAGCAAGTAACCATGGTGAATTCTTTTTATAAAACTATTTTTCTAGAACTGATTGAGTCTCAAATTCTCATATGAAATATATAAATCAACGGAAATATGCGGAAAACAGTACAAATTTACCAACACAGACCAACAATCCGGTGTCACAAGTCAAGAGCCTCTAAATACAACCCAATCTGAATGACTAATACATAATAAATCTAAAAATGCAGAAAACTAAGACAGGAAGGAGGAAAGCAGGGCTGCGGACGCCGTGCAGCTACCTTGCAGTCTCCGGTAAGCTCTGAAAATGCTGGGGACCCTCACTCTGCCGCTCGGGCACCTGGATCTGCACGCAAGGTGCAGGGAGTAATGTGAGTAGGCCAACTCAGTAATTAACTAGAGTAAATAAGGTCTGAGTGCAGTGCCGAGCAATTCAAAATCATATATAAGAGTATACAACAGGATATCAAGTCAAACTCAACAGTTTAAAAGCCAGTTACTTCGTAAAACTTCAGTTTCAATTGAAATACTTTGAAATCATTTACTTAGTAGTTTTCAACAGAGGCTCATTATAAGAAAAAGAGTGAAATCAGCAAAAATGTCATAAATGGGCCCCTCGGGCAAGGTATCACTCATAAATATAGCCTCTCGGGAAAGCCTCTCGGTCACTCGTGACTCAACTCTCGTCACACAGTACTCACACTCAGAACTCAGGCTCAATAATATCTCATAATAGTAATAATCATAATAACTGCTGCGGCGTGCAGCCCGATCCATAGTTTATAATCGACTACGCTCACTGGGGGTGTACAGACTCCGGAGGGGCTCCTACAGCCCAAGCGTCATATCGCTGCGGCGCGCAACCCGATCCAATATATATATCGCTGCGGCGTGCAGCCCGATCCATATAAGTATCGCTGCGGCGTGCAGCCCGATCCATACTATATACATATATATATATATATATATATATATATATATATATATATATATTATAATCCTCACAATTAGGTCCTCAACCTCCCTCAGTCATTAACCTCACAGCCACTCGGGCATATCAGTAGAAATCAGGGAACTCAGCCCAAACAGTTTCACAATTTTAAGAAGTAGAGTGATAAAACCAGGTTTAAACAATAAACAGGTAAAACATGACTGAGGATATGCTTTCAAACAAATAGAGTGAAGGGTCTCAACAGGTCGGCACAAGGCCCCAAACATGGCATACATCCCATATTATAGTATCAATCTCTAAAATACGTGATATCATAAGATTTCAAATCAAATACGCGGCTTAATAGTCGCTACGGGATGGACCAAGTCACAATCCCTACCGGTGCATGCCCACACGCTCATCACCTAGCATGTGCGTCACCTTATTTATCAAAAACAATATGAAATGCCGGGGTTTTATACCCTCAGTTCCAGATTTATAATGGTTACTTACTTCAAACCGGATGAAATACTATTCCGCGACGCCTTTGCCTCTCGCGTCGGCCTCAACTCGCGCCGAATCTACCCAAAATCAGAATCATAACATTAGAATATGCTAAGGGATCGAAGCCCATGCGAAAACAATCAATTACAACACAAATCCCGAAATTGACCAAACCCGACCCCCGGGCCCACATCTCGAAATTCCATAAAAATCACATCAATAGAATCCTTATCCCGTCACGAGTTCATGCATACCAAAAGTACCAAAATCGGACCTCAAATGGCCCCTCAAATCCTTAATCAAAAGTCTCCAATCTCAAGCCCTAGTTTCTTCAATATCCCACAATTTTCCATAAATTTCAAGCCTAATCAATGAAATAATACCATAGGAACGAGTTTTATGTTCAAAAACCTTACCTCAATGAAGTTTCCTCTGATCCCTTCTCCAAAATCCCCCCAAAAGCTCCAAAATCGATTTAAAAATGGTGAAGAAAGGCTGAAAATCGCGAAGGAGGGTTTATATACTTTCTGGCCCAGGGTTTTCGCACGTGCGGCCCAAATTCCGCTTCTACGGTCAGGAGCACCGCATCTGCGGTTTTCACTTAAAACCTCAACTCCGCACCTACGATCAAACACCCGCACCTGCGATACCGCAGGTGCGCTCAAACAGCCGCTTCTGCGGTTCCAGCTCCCATGGCCATTTCCGCATCTGCGACTCACTGGGCGCTTCTGCGAGCCCGTACCTACGGTCCCCTAGCCGCAGGTGCGGTTATGACAGCAATAGGAAATCTTCAGCTGCCAAACCCAACTCAAAGTCTTCCGTCAACCATCCGAAATCACCCCGAGGCCCCCGAGACCTCAACCAAAAGCACAAACAAGTCATAAACCACTATCCAACTTATACCAATCTTCGAAACACCTCAAACAACATCAAATCAACCAAATAACATCGTATTCAAGCCTAAGGTTCCAAAAATCTTCCAAATTCCTCTTTTGATCAAAAAGTCTATCAAACCTCGTCCGAATGACCTGAAATTTTGCACACACGTCACAAATGACACAACGGACCTACTCCAACTTCCAGAATTCCATTTCGACCCCTATATCAAAATCTCACCTGTCAACCGGAAAACGCCAAATTCCAATTTCGCCAATTCAAGCCTAAATCTACTACGGACCTACAAAACATATTCCGATCACGCTCCTAAGTCCCAAATCACCTCCTGAAACTATCTGTACCATCGGAATTCACATCCGAGCCCTTTTTCATATAAGTCAACATCCGGTTGACTTTTCCAACTCAAGCTTACTCAAAAGAGACTACGTGTCTCAAACCTTAACAAAACCTCTCCGAACCCGAGCCAACCAACTCGATAACACATAATACAGCTGAACAAGACAATAAGAAGCAGAAATGGGGAAAATGGAGTGGTAACTCATGAAACGACCGGCCGGGTCGTTACATTTGGGATCCATATGCCTACGTATAATGGAAATAGATACTTTTTGACTCTTGTTGATGACCATTCTAAGATGATTTGGATTTTCTTAATGAAATTGAAAAGTGACACTGTTGTTGTGTTAAAATCCTTACTTAAAATGGTATATACACAATTTAGCAGGAATGTGAAAGTATTAAGAACTGGCAATTGTGCAGAGTTTTTTAGTCATGAATGCAAAGATTATTTGACAGATAATGGTATTCTGCATCAATGCAGCAGTCCACACACTCCACAACACTATGGAGTAGTGGAGAGAAGGCATAGACATGTCCTGAAAGTGGCAAGGGCTTTGAGATTTCAAGGTAGCATTCCTTTGCAGTTCTGGGGAGATTGTGTACTAGTTGCAGCATACCTAATCAATCGACTGCCTTCTTCAATCCTAGCAGTTAAATCTCCTTATGAGGTTTTCCATAAGAGATCGCCTAATATGGCACACCTAAGGACTATTGGATGCTTGTGTTTTGCCACAGTGACAGAAAAGGTGGACAAATTTTCTCTTAGGGTTATTACTGCAGTTCACATGGGATACTCAGTGTCTCAAAAAGGATACAAGTTGTATGACTTAAGGAGAAGAAGGTTCTTTGTTAGTAGAGATGTCACTTTTAAGGAAGACATTTTTCCTTTTCAACTGGAAAAGGATGATAGACAACAAGCTCCTGTGTTCTTAGAGCTGAAACAAAGAGAAGAAGGTCATTCCTTGCATCAACAACAACCACATGTACCAGAAGAAGGACATCATATGCCAGGAGAAGGACATGTTGCAGTCAACCAGGATATTGTGCATGATCATGAATTGATGCAGCAAGGGAATAACTTTATAAAAGTTGATCCAAATCATAATGAATAGGTACCCGTTGCTGAAGCTGATCATAATGCGCAGATACCAGTTGTTAAGGCCACTGAGGAAGTTCAAGTTGCACAACTTAGGAGATCCAATAACGGTTCCAAACCACCTATTTGGATGAAGACTATGTCTGCCCACTGAATAGGGCATCCTCATCCACCTGCACATATCCAATATCCAATTATCTGAACTATAGTGCTTTGTCAGCTACTTATCAATCTTACTTGACTGCTACCCAACAGGAGACAGAACCTA